ATCGTTCTCTGGGCTGCWTCTCCTCTAGCCTTTCTCCCTTCTCAATCTTCCTCCCCCATGTGACCTCCTCTCCCCAAGGCAGCAGATATTAATTGTAATCAAACCGCAATGGGGTGGGTACTTAATTGCCATCTAGTTGGCCTTTGATGATGCGTCATCGGATTGTACTGTTCGGAGGAGGGATATTCCGATTGCAGGTATAACGGGATTACCATGGCTGAATAAATTCCTCCCTGTGCAGATTCCCGGCAGAACAAAAGAAAGGGAGGTTTGCACCCAGACAATGGCTGGTTTAATGGTGGTGGTGTGCGTTATGGTGGGTGTGGAGGATTAATCTCCATTCCCCAATGCACAGAGTGCTTTGGATTTTGGTGAGTTTCAAGCAGTAAAGAAACCGAGAGAGAAGATAGCAGACTAGGGGAAAGTACCCCACCTCCACCACCAAAGTCGAACAAATCAGGCCTCTGGGTACTTTTATACACAAGTTTTAGAATTCATTTAATAGAGATTGAACTTCAAATCTGTTTTAGAGGAATAAGGAAGAAGATGAGGCTCAAAGTGTATTTCTGGATCATTCTCACCTACAAAGGTTGAATCACAGAAATGAATTCTGGCGAGTTCCAGGAAAGAGAGACTGAGGGTAGCTGCTTTTTACTGGGGGCAGGGGTGGAGTGGGGGTGCTAACAAAGAAGAGGAACAAGGCTTCCCACCCTTGATTTTTACCCCTTCCAGGAGCTGCTGAAATGGTCACTGATTCTTTCCAACCGGRGACTCCAAGGTTCAGGCCCTCTAGAAACTCAAAGCAGCCAGAGAAGGAGCATCCTCCTGCTCAAGGAGTATGTGAGCCGCCACAAGGGCGGCAAGAAAGGGGAAAGCGCTCAGCTCCATCCATCCTATTATTGGCAGTCAGGGCGATTGAAGCTAAAGCAGCGTTTCAAGGCAACATTATTTAAAAAATTAAATCAGATCTGACAATGTTTGTCCTCAGCGTAAATGCCTCCGCCTCGGCGTGCCAGTCACCTCTAAGCGATCTGACAAACTCCAGCTCGCTTAAAACGTGCAGAGTTCAAATCATATTAATTCCCCAAAAATGTTTTGATTCAAAGTAGTTTGTATTTTGTGTAGCCACGGGCAATAGGGAAAGCGTTCCTGCCTGCCAGTGGCCGGGTCCGCTCCCTCTCCGCGTGGCCCAGAGGCTACAGCGGTATTTAAGCTTCTGAAATTAGCCTGGGGCTGCAAGGCAGAATGATCACAAAGCGAAACAAGGGCGCTTCCCCTCTTCACTTTTTTCATCCCCCCCCCCAGCTTTTTTTTTTTTTTTTTTTTTTTTTTTTTTTAGTTTGCCATCCCGATTTCACAAAAGAGACCAGGGCCAAAATGTCACTTTCCACCCACATATGGAAAGGCTGAGTTTTCTCATCTCACCTCTATCCTCATCTGAAGGCCACAGTCCCCTATCCAATTGAAACCCTACCCTGTTTAATTCCAATCTGGATCCATTATTAGCTTCCTCCTCMTCGTCGTCGTCATCATCAACATGGTTCACTTATTATTAACGTCTGAGCGAGAAATGAAAGGGACCAGCGGCTGACAAAGGGAGGGGTTTGGGGTGGGGCGGTAAGGAAGATTCACCGGGAAAAGAAGAGTGAGTTTTCCTTGCTTCCTTCTTTCCTTCCTTCCTTCCTTCCTTCCTTCCTTCCTTCCTTCCTTCTTCTTCTTCTTTTTTAATGATTAAAAACATAGACGACTCCTGTAAATAGAAGCCTCATTTCTTCAAGAGATGCCTTTTGAAACCCAGTATCTGAATATTCAACGAAGGCAAAGCTCCACTCTGTACGTACAACATTAATATGATCTCTGCAGAATTTGCTACTCAGAAATATTAACATATCAAAGCCAACGCCCGAGGCGAAAGAAGCTATCGATACTCGAGCACAGGGTAAAGTAAAGATTATTGGTTCTGATGGTTGGAGTGGAGGAGCTGCGGGCAAAATCGCGCACACCATTAACCGAGAGTGAGCGCGCAGGGAGCTGCGCCTCCAAGGCGGTGGCAAATATTTTATCTAGGTGGTAATTACCTTGCTGATAACTCCTCTTCACGCATTTTTTTTTTTTTTTGGATATCAGACTCTCATTATAGGCCCMAAACAATGTTTTCTACTTAACAAAGTGAATCAGAAAATGGCATGTTGCTCTTTACAAGTAGCCAAATTTAAGATAACTCCCCTAACTCCTTCTCCCCCTTGCAAATCAGGATAGCTTCATCATGATGAACTCATGTAAACTACACAGGCATGTATCTTTCTTCAAGAAAAACACTTGAAGGGGTCTTTGAAAGTGAGATTTATTTTTCTTGCAATGTAAATTCCGGATATCACTAGCAATGCAAATTTATCCAAGAATTTGGCCAAAACCAGAAAACAGTAGAAAAGTTGTGTTTTTCAAGAAATCCTGTTTTATACAAGGAAGTATCTGTAAAGTATGGATTGAAAAATAAACACATTCTCATCTAAGCTGTAAGACAACACTGGGTTACAAGAGGGAGTGCAGAAAAGCAGAGTGCTGGAATTAATGTCCTCCTGATTTTTGATGAACAAAACTGATCTAAGCTATTGATATTTGGAGTCCTATTCATAACTGTGACCATAGAGAGAAGGAGCTTCCTACGAATTTCTTTAAAAATAAAGAGTCCTTATATAAGGGGCAGGGCAGGGTCTGACAAAACATATACCCCCTTCCTTGATATCCACTTTTAAACTGTCATGAATATTGATAGTTTCAGGGTAAACCAATGCATATAGACATACATCTTCCAGGGTTCAAACAAGTTAATTGGCCTTTCTCTAAAACATGTGAAAATGAAATAAATTTGGCAGCTAAAATTTGAATTCTTCAAAGTGGAGGATTAAGGTTTAGTCTAACAATACAGACATAAACACCAAGTGACATWTCCTTTATCTTTGGAGTTATGCTGTTTTCCTACAAAATCAATCTTTTGTTTCAAAAAGCAGGTTAGGAAATGATTTTTTAACTTAAAAAATAGATAYTGAGTTCTACAAGAAAAATAAAACATCATCTATGGAACACAATTTCTGTGACTCTGAAAAGACCTCAGCTTGCACCTTGTAGATTAAATGTTTTGCATTTCTTTTTTCTTAAATCTCTTAAATCTTTTGCATTACTTGGAAGAATGCTAAAGTGTGAGGGGATGTCACCTAAACCTTTTTATGCCAATTCAACTGATTCCACACCCGAGGCCTCCCATCGTCATCCTTGAATAATCTCCACCCTCTGTCACCTATTGTGCAATAGGATGTAATTTTCAAGCATCAAGGAAGGCAATCTTAGTACGGAACTGCATGGAAAAACTGTAGTAGCGCGAGCTACTCGTCTCTGAGGAACCGGCTCCCGTCCCTAATTAGTGGCGCTGTCCTTCAGCACCACCGACATCTCTGTGCGCCCAGAGCGCTGGGCCTCACCTTTAGTTTTGCCTGCCCCAAATGATCCCAATCAGCACGTGAGTCTCACGGGTCCCCCTTTTTACTGTGTAAKTTTTACCTGCCCAATAGTATATATGTTTAATTTTCATATTCACTAGTCTTGGGCCTATTTCATATCATTACAATATGGCTGAGTACAGGCAAGCTTAATATTGCTCATAACAAACAAAGCAAAACAAAACACCCAAAATTATGCAGAGCAATATCAGACATTTTTTTAAAAAATAGTTTTTAAATATCTGAAAGGTGAAACAAGTGGTGAATAGCTCTTTTAAATTTAACATAAACTCCAAACATACACGGCAGCAGTAGCCAAGTTCGAAAAGTAAAACACCCTTTGTTTTCTTTCCTCTTGAATATAAGTGTTCATATTGTATATTGCTTCAGGAGATCTACAGTTTAAACACAAAAGAATCTTCTGTTTCTAACAGCACATGTCTCTCTTCAGAAAAATCAAATCATTCAAGAAGTTTTCAAAGAAATAGGGAGTGACTGGAGCACATTAATTTGGTACCATCAGAAGTAACTCAGTTTTAGTGGTTTGGTTACTAAAGACAATTGTGGCCCTGGAGCAGGAATTAGTCCTGGTGAATAGGCCACATCTTATTAATTCGTATGAAGTTGGGATAACAGCTGGTCCCTCTTGCCTTGTGTGCTCCTTGGGTTACTCAGCACGCTAGAAAAATAAACTTCAGAGGCTCTGGGTACAGTTAAGCATGGAAGCCAGCAAAATCTGCACTGCCTTGAGGCCCTGTGAATGTCATAGTTCAAAACCTTTTGTCAAAACGGAACATCTGAGATGCAGCCCCCCTTCAGTGCTTGAGCTGAAAGCAACAGCTCTCTCCTCTTCTCTCGCCTCCCCCCCCCCCACCTTCCAATTCCATGGGTAACTCTGGATTCAGATGTTTTCCTCAACAGATGGGAACAAGAAAGCTTTATCCGGTACAGTTAACACTACCGCCTCCTCCCACCCTCCCTTAAAGAAAGAAATGTTCTGGACATTTAGAAAATAAGGCAGCTACAATATTGGTGTTTCATTAGCCTCCTCTAAAGCCTCAATGATCTAGCCTTTCACAGAATCCCTCAAAGCCTCAAGCTAACACCATCACCTCAAAAACTCAGGCTGTGGCTGGCACATTAGAGCTAAAAGAGACCAGAAATTCTGCTCGAGGATGTGGTATTGATGATTGGGGAAGGGGGTGTGAAAAGTTGGGGTTTTTTTTCAGTTTTTTCCCCCCTCTTCTAACTTTGATTCTGTCACTTCTGTGAGGAGCAGCAGATATTGCCTAGCACAAGTCTCTTGGGCTTAGCCTGTGTTCAAGCCTCAATGGAAGAAAGAAAAATGTTAAATGTGAATATGCCTGTATGGAACTTGAATAACTAAGAGTAATTGTTTTCTTAATGAGCAGACAAGAAATTCAATGCTTAAAACCACACCAGACCTTCAAAACAAAGTAACAGATAAGAGGAGAATGTTTAGAATAAAATGTTCTTACTTACCTCTTCTTATCACTCCACCTTGGCCATTAAGAACAAGCCCACACTGGGCTTCCACAGAGCCCTTAATAAAAGAAAAATAAAATAAAATCACTGAGATATGATAGGTATGGTCATGTGGGTAGTCTTTCAGACTGGTCCATCCCTCAACCCCTTCTCAATAGACCTGTGAAAGCAATCATTGAGCTAGGACAAGGTAGCCAGAAAACATTTGTAAGAAAAAAAAAATGCAAGAAAAACCACAATCTAAAAGTTGTATAAATTTTAAGGTATGCATTTTATATCACCATACAATATTGTACTTCAAAGTGCCTGAGAGCCTTTCATGTTTGCATCAGAGAATGAGAAGCCCTTTGAGTCTTCATCAAGGCACACAGAATATATACAGAGAGTATACTCAGCACTTTACGAGGGGAGAAAATTTACCTGGAGATCAAGTCTGGGGTTGTGGGTTTCTTGGGAGCACATAGGAGCTATTTCACATGCAGGAATCAAGATATGTATGTCAGGGTTCTGTTTTACCCAAAGGTAAAAACGTCCTATATGCTACCCAAAATGGGCCTTATGGAGGAAATACCTTCAGGTCCACTCATTGTAGATCTTCAGGCTCCTAATGCATTGAGGAATCACTTGAGCTGGAAAGGTGGAAAGGATTTGCTGATTTTTGATTACAAAAAATAATTTTTTTTTCTGCATCTGTCTTTTTCCCCCCTAACTCAAAATGTGTTAAAGGCTCATTTTCCTTTACAAACAAACGAGGTATTGGACATGAAAGAGGCCTTGAAGGGTGTTAACCTACCCAACAGCCCGTGAAGAGTTAAGTAAATGCGGAGAGAGTCGGTGCATAATAAAAACCCACTTTACAAAACAACCTTTACAGCCCTGGCTCCCTTTTGCCTCCCCATTTTCACCATATTGAGGCAGGCCTGTAAGACCCCCCTTTTCAACCTACTCACCAGCTCTTTCTTATTTTAAATGTTCTGCCTTAAAGTGATTATCAAATCAATATGAAAAAAAAAAACTTGGAGACTGAGCATAAATTAAAGCGGTGATGGGAAAAGGTGTGACAGTTTTCTTTGTTGGCCATAGCAAATCTTTTTAGGGGACTCAAAGATGGAACTGAAGCCACAAGACTGTTTGCATCTGTTAGGCAGACTTAGACCGCCCTCCAAACCATTGGACTTTCACTTAAAATTCTGTGCAGGGAAAAGTATATTTACATTTGTTGCATTTGAAATGAGGCATATGCTGATGAATGTTTTAAAAAGGAAGAAATAAAAGGAGAGAGACGGGCTTCTCCCACACACTCCCTCCTCATTTCTCATTTTAAATGTAGTTATGACTCTTTCTTTTTCATTCTGCCAACTTGGTTTGGGAAGAGTGGAAGAAAATAGCTTGCCAGATTTACAAATGTCCTTCACAGAATTCACATACATGTGTGTGTATACACACAGACATATATTATAGGTATATGTAGCTATGTAAATATATATACTTTTTATCATCCACTATACCCTGTTTCATCTTTTGCCCTGGAGTCATTCCTTCCTTAGTATGTGCAATGTCACTTTAGAATGAGTTATAAAAAAGAAAAGAGAGAATAAGTATATTAAAAGGAGGCTGAAGAAAATGTTTCAAAATATCTGAAATGTAGAAGTAAAGGGCCTTGAAGTTCTCCAAGGGAAAGAACCACTTTCCCTCCCACTCTGTTAAGATGTTTATTTTCTTGGAAGAAACGAATCTTGGTCCCTTCACTTAACAAACTTTTCCCCCTCATAAGTAAAACATGTTGTTTGGTCGGATGACATTGCATAAATGACCAGTTGAATGGCACTAAGTCGAAAATTGGATAAACTACGGTGTCCTTTTGCACAGGATTCTCTCTTTGTCTGGTGCTTGCAAATGTTCTAATCCCCTCTTTTGAAAAATGCCCTGCTTTGTGCCTAGCACAGAAAAAAAATTTGTACAGATACAAAAAAATCAGCAGCAGACGTGGCTATTAAAAGAAGTAAATAGGTTTTAGTTGAGCTAAGCATTGAATGGCAGATTTTTTTCCCTCTTGAGACATAAGGGGATCCTTGTGTAAAATGTAAAAATGCCCTGAGCGTATAAAATTATTTTGTGAATATAAGTATAGAAAGTCAAAATTTACGGAGCCAGATCTTTTTTCTTCCATATAGATCTTGCAGCTATGACCCTTTGTTGGAACTGTAAGGGCTTTCACTTTAATTTAAAAATAATCCCTTGCTCATAGGTATACAAGTGGGGGAGATTTTCTGTGCGCAACAAGGGATCTCTTACGTCTCCAACGTATGCTCCTGGAATATCTCCCCACTGGTCCTGTGGAGTGGGGAGAAGTTGGCCAGCTTTGGGCAAACTGAAAAATTGGGGACTCACAGATAGAGCTGCACTTTCCACTAAAAGATGATACAAATTTGGGTTTTTCAGATTCTTATTGTGGTTTTAGTTGTTTTAAATGTGCCTAAGATAATATGATTGCATAATTATAAATTCTATTGTTGGCAAAGAATGTACAAAAAACGTTTTAAGAAAGAAAGTAGGAGAGAGACATCTGATTGAGTTAGGTTTTCACAGCGTCTGAATTCGTTTTAGCAATTTTCTTTTTTCCTGTCTGCCTTCCTAATTGCCATCTCCCTTTCCTTCCCTCTCTCCCTCCCTTCCTCTTTCTTTTGCTTCCTTGGTTCTTTCTCTATTTCCTCACCTGTGTTTTTTTTTTTTTTAAGGAGTTCATCTTAAGCAAAACATAATGGGATGAAAAGGAAAAAATAATGATGTGAGTCATCCAACAGGGCTGTGAATGTGGGTAAACACCAGGCGCAGAGAATTAGACTCAATACTACACTCTGGCAAAGTGCATTGTGCAGATTCTTTCATTGGGGTTGATTTTCGAGGTTTTCCTTTACAGATTTCTTACTTTACATAGCAATCTAGTGTCTGGTGAAACTTTTACTCAAGCTCAGTGTTCCAACAATTTCCCAAGAACAAACGAGTTGCCTTCCCCCATACATAGCAAGATCACCACAGGCTCAGTGGAAGACGAGCTCCTGGAACAGGAGTGTAGACCCGACCCTGCAAAGTATGTAAACTGAGGGTGCGATTGGTCATCAACTCATCGGGTCTTATTCTGAGTCGAGTTCACTCAAACCCAGCCTCCCTGATCTCCCCCACCCATCCGCTCAGGGTCAGAAATGTGGATTCACAAAAGACTTCTGTGAGTACTGGCCGAAGGTAGGGGCCGCAGCTAGCCGGACTAATTCGCGTCTAGGTGAAAAGCCTGGATCCAATAAGAGGGACAGAATGGGCACACTCCTCCTCTAATTGTTTTGATAACTTTCCGTGTGTGTGTGTGTGTGTGTATGTGTGTGTGTGTGTGTGTGTGTGTGTGTGAGAGAGAGAGAGAGAGAGAGAGAGAGAGAGAGAGAGAGAGAGAGAGAGAGACGACTTACTGTCAGAGTATTAATGGAGTGGGAGGGGGAGGGCGAAGAGGGGAGGGCGCAGACAAATTCCCTGCATGCTTATTTACCTGCAAGTCGTCTGCTCCCGCGGCGGCCAGCCCCAGGCTGGGCCCTGGCAGGAGTCTTTGATCTGGGTGCATTCCATACTGAGAGCCATGGCTCATGAGGGACAGGTCGTGGCGGCGGTAGGCATCGAGGCAGCCCAGCTCCCGCCTCTGCTCGTCCAGGCAGGAGGACTTGAGCGCCCGCGCATTGTGCAGGTTAATAAAGTCGGTGGGCTCCCCGTGGTGGATCTGCTGGTAGTACTGTTGCGAGTGGTGGAGCGAGTTCAGAGAGTAGGCGTCGGGGGTGACCGCCGGGTGGCTGTGCTGAAACTCGTAATGGAAAGACTGGTGGTGGAGCGGGGTGTACTGGTGGTTAGTGGAGAAGTAGGGGGACGCAAACTCGGTGCCGGTGGTAGAGTAAGTTAGAGGAGAGGAGGAGGAATAGGCGACAGTGGAATTGGCTACGGACTCCAGACAGCCAAGCTGCATCAAACGGTAGCTGTTTGATCCGTCGTGACGTATCTGGAAGGAAGAGGGGGAAAAGGGAGAGCAGAAAAACTTGAGGTTTGTCATTTTGCAACCAAGGCGCCACTCTCCCAGAGCCTGGAGCTCTCTTTAGCTTTCCAAGGAGAGCGAGTAAGCAGGGCTCAGGCAGAGCGGCAGCCGGGGCTCAGCGCCTTTGCTAGAGAGCCTTGGCGAACAGGCGAACTGGGGGTGGGCGGCCTCGTCCTCACAGTGGAGAGAGCGGGAAAAAAAATCCCCCACCCTATATAGGTGCGGGCGACATCACACACGCACACACACGCACACACATAACACACACCCAGCCCCTGCTCGACTTGTGCAGGGAGCTGGGCGTTGGGAACCAGGTTTGCGACTGACTCCGGGGACACCCTGAGCAGGAGAGAGCCCATACGCAGAAAGTCCTATTCCCGCGCGTCGCCACTCCAACCAGATCCCAACACCGAAATTCTGATCCTGTCCATGACAAGATGTTTGGCCAGGGCTACTCAAAATCATTGTCCATATATTTAAAAAAAAAAAAATCCATTCTGCAAATCGTTCAACTTGCTCACTTTCTTTAGTCAACCATTTGGGGGAGGGAATCCGACCCACCTTCTCTGCTTCCCTTTCCTTGAATAAACAGGCTCCAAAAGGGGTGCGTTGTTCCCCACCCCCCATGTCCACCTACCGCCCCCCATCAGTCCCTTTTCTTTGCCTTTCTGAGAATCCTTTTTCTGTCTCTATCTCTTTCTCCTCAGCACCCTCCCCTTATTATTAGGATTATGTTTTCTCCCTCGTTATGGCAAATGTTTCTTAACAGAGTTGCCCTTCCTGGCGACAGATGTCATAACGAACTTTCTCCCCTTCCCTTCCTTAACTTCCCCTGAAAGCCAGATTATAATTAAACGTAACGGTCCAATATAGATTAGAGGCAGGGGAAGCTGCCGCCACCGCCGCCACCGCCGCCGCCGCCACACACACGCGCGCTCAAAAAAAAAAAAAAAAAGTAATAATACCTCAGCATCGTGGACTAGTCCCGGAAAGGTAGTTGACATGTTGGGTTTCTCCAAAAGCTTACGATGCAATTTCCCCCTCCAAAAAAAGAATCGGGAAAAAAATCCAAACTTCTTGTATTTTCCAATTTTTTTTAAGGAAAAAAAAATGTTCTATAGATAGAGATCTAAATTGTAATGGTTTTGCCCGGATCAGATAGCTCCTTGCCTCGTACCCACTTAAAAACCTGTAGGAACAAAATTTTCCCTCTGCACAAAAGCAGCTCCCTGGAACAGATTTTGTACTTGCTGAGTATTTCTTTGGCTGATGTCGTAGGTCCCTTGGTAATATAGAAGTTTTGAAAATTAAGCATCAGCACTGAGAACTGGGAGGACAATAGGCAGAAGAGATTTATCCCAGGAGACAAGGAATAAATATTGTATCTTCGCCTAATAAGGAACTGGAGGTTCTTTCAACATTTTTATCCATTTTTTCCAACCTTTATCATGCTTTTCTATACCGACTGAGGTGGGGACTCATCTCTGCGGAGAGCATTTGCACACATTTTATTGTAAAGATAGAGATCTAGCCCCAATATGTGTATATTAGAGATAGAAATATATATTAATTAAAGCTTCCTTTTACATGGGTAAGTGCTCATTCCTATTGGCTCCACTTCCTGCATGCTGAGAACTGGCTTTTTCCAACAAGCATCCGAATCAATTTTGCCTAGATTGGGGTATCTGCTTTCGCCCAAGTGGAAACAATACTGCTCTTTCCATATTTACATCGAATTTGGGTTCTTTCCCCCTTTTGAAAGGCAACACCAGGAGGTGGCTTACACTTTTCAGCAGCTTTTAAAATAAATAACCATGAGGGACAGTCCCAAGTTTCCATCATAAAGAAGTGGTGTAACTGGCAATGAATTTAGGAAAAATGCAAGAGAATAAAGATGTGGTGACAAGATTCTACACTTAGGTAAATATTGTTTTTCACTCCCAAACCCAACATATTTTCCTTTTCTTTTGTGTTTTCCTTCTTCCCTTGTAAATAGTGTTGGTTGGAAGGGAGGGGGCATTTAGCAGTGGAACCAGGTATTTGAACAACATTACCCCCAAAATAACCCTTAAGTGCTTGTAGTTATATTTTACAAAGAGAGAACAGGAAGGAGGCAGTGCACACACCTTACTCCATTTCTTTGGTGGATTTCTTGACTYTCAAACAGTTTTGAGCTTTAGTTTGTTCAAAATTTAGCTTCCCCTACTAGGTTGTCTAGTGCCTGCAGGGGGTGGCAGTGGCTATAAACTGGCAAGACTGAGGCTTTGCAAGGTCTGTTCTCCACCCCTGTTTCTTAAGAGAGAATTGGCTGGCCCCATAGACTCATCTCAGAGATAGAAGGGGTAATTCAGTCTTAATTGTCATTTCATTTGGTTAGCTTTTAAGTGTTTAAGCTGAGAAGGTGTCTTAATAATAAGCCGCAGGCAAACAGGCATGTGGCTTTTTTTTGGGGGGGGGTCGGGGTTTGGGAGGGTTTATTAGGATCTGCTCATGCAGGCTAACTGGGGCTGTCACTCAGAGCTCTTTGCTTTATACAAATGGACAAAGGCACACGACAAGAATTGAAATGCATTGTCTGAAATGGAGATCTGAGATGCTTCAGTCCTGCACAGGGGTCAGCAGCCAACACTTGCTCCCTATTTCAATGTACACCAGCCTCCCCCCACCTTCTTGGGATTCCATATTTTGGTCTAATGAAGTCAGGAGACAGAGAGGTCAATGCGATGACAAGGAAGAAATGTCCAACTTGATCTTTAAGTAGAAGGGATAAGATAGGTGCTATTGACACTGAGGGGCTGAATCCCAAAATGCTTGCATCAGAGTCTTTGTTTCCCAGGTCTAAGTCAGCCCTTCATAGTTTACCCAGAGAGGAAAATAAATAATCTTTATCCATAGTAGCTGGGGCCTGCCCCCATTACTTTACCCTAAAAATCTCTGCCCTTGATAAAGTTCAAACCTTCCCCTCCCCGCCCCCGAAGAATATGCAAGTTATCTTGTGAATAGTCAGATTCACTTTCTTTAGTGGATGATGTTGACTCCCCAGTCAGTCCAAGCTCTAATGGAAAAGGATGACACCTTCTCAGCCTATACTCCTTCCCGCCCTCCCACCCCTCAACCGCCAGATATATCTTTATTGAAGGCAAAGGGACTTTCTTCTCAGGTTTCAGTCCAAGCAGCAGAGACTGACCCCTGGGAACAAACAGGAGGCTCAGGACAAACTGGCTGCCTGTTATGCCTGCTGTCCCAGTGTATTTGATCCACGTGTTTTTTCCCTGTCCCAGGGAAGAGCCACATGCTCCCCTGCACTCAGATGATTTGGCCTTATAATACTCTCAGTAATAAGTTCTAGCCTGAGCAGAGTATATACCACAAAGTGACCTCCAGTTGCCCCCACCCATCTGAATGCATCAGGACATTGCTGAGTTACTGGCAAATATACCTCTCTACTCCATCCCCCTATTCTCATTCCATTGCATTCTCATTCTCATTCCTATTCTCATTTCCTGAGTGGCTTTTAGGTACTCAGGCAAAGAGAATCCAGAGTTTCTTTTATTGTGCCCCTGAACACCCTTGGATTTGGAGAAAACTAAAGATCACAGAGAATGAGAAAAATCCTTTTATTTGCAATTAAGGTATATAAAACAGGAAGGAAATGTGTATCACTTTTACTTTGGGGATCTACTTCATCAGGGCCCCCATTTTGGAAATAGTTTCCTTGTTCCCATGTCCAAAACTCCCTATACAAGCATCTAAACCTTAAAGAAACTTCACTTGGCCAACTGCTCCCTCCCACATCATCTTAACTTAAAAAAAAAAAAAAAAAAACTGTTTCTCCCTGAAAGAAAAATTGAGGAAATCATCCATGCCATATGCACACACTGGTCAGTGTTCCCTTCCATCTGCTCTGGGGTTGCTCAGCTCGCCCCTTTTGTAAAGAAATTCATTGAGGCAGGTGTGTGGTTTGGTGCCTTGTGTGTGATGTGCATGCGCTGGATTTGTTTTTGTCAGACAGCTCTCCCACCTCTCCCCCTCCCATCCAATTAATAGTCTTGAGCAATTAATAAGTGCCATCTTGCTTGACCCAAAGTCTGGGCTTTTCAGCAAAGTGAATTCCTCTTTCTCTGTTTTGCCCCTTTCCTGGAGAATGATTGGCCACACATTCTCCAGCGGGTGGCGTAATTGAATTAACTAGCCACAACATATTGGAGACAGGGCGGTGCCTGGGGCCCCCTCCATGGGAAAACTAGTGGTGTGCATTCTAGCTTCAGCCAGAGGCCAGGCCAATACTTGCCCACTCAAAATAGCCCACAAGAGCATGGAGAAGCCCTGCCACCCTGGCAGGGTAGAAGCCAGAAAGGGTATCCCTTTARCACCTGGTGCTCTAGTTTTGTGCTTCATCACTCTGGGAGGGATTGCCCTTATGAAGTTACTTTAGGAATCTGCTAAGAAATCTTTATATGCATTATTTTTGTTTAGATTAGGGTCTAGGGCTGGAAGACAATTTTTGAAAATTGTAGGCCCCTTTTCTGAACTTCTAGGTTGGTACTGCAAGTTTGGACCTAATCTCAAACATCATCACTAAAAGGATCTGCTGCACACGGCTTGTTTGAGGTTGGTGAATAAGACCAGCCATACTGTGCCTAGCCCTAACTTTAATAAATATGTATTCCTTCAGGTTTGTTTTCTTTTTTGGCTACTTGTTTTTCCTTTGCTCCTGCAAATTAGATTTAATTTGTTCTYATTCCTTTAGTAAATTCTCTCACAAAACTGCCCATGTAACACTAAAGCAAAGTAGAGTTATAATTGCAATTATTTGGACATTTTCTACCAAAAAAGAATTTCCTTGAATATATTTACACACATGAATCAACCAGAATATCTTCCTCAATTCTACCTTCCCTTTTCCTTCTTTCCTTTCTCCCTCTTTTATGTCTTTCCTTTGTCCTACCTTCACTTTTAGAGAGAAGTACAGATGAGATTGAATTCATCAAATTTGTACCATTAAGCAAGTATGTGTGAACATTTTCTAAGAATGAAATTAGTATGCTCTGTTCCAGTGGGGCTTGCAGCTCCATAACTGAGACATGAGTTTGCACAATAGGGATCCTATTTCTACCCTCTAGCTTTGAAAGAATACTTGTTTAGGAGAACAGTGGTGCACTGAGGATCCAAAGTAGTAGGTGATGCTCTTTACACAAAGCAAAACAAGAGGTGTAGATATGAATATGTGTACTTCTCCTACTGCTTTCAGGATCTCTCTTTTACACTCCATATCTTGTATGAAAAAGGATGTCTTTAAAGAATGAAGAGCAGCCAAAGGACATCTGTGTCCTATCTAAGGCTGTCCTTGTTTTGACCACTCTCAGGTACTCAGCTACCCCTTTGAGAATTCCCTCCTCTGAGTACCTTCTCCTGGATAGACTTCCAAGAGGTTCTCAGCTGTGGATCTCCAAAAAYCAATCACAGAGTAACTGTAACTTCTCAGGGTTCTCTCCCCAGGGAGCCTGAGTTTCAATTACTCAGAATTTTAATGACTCAAAACTTCACTGTAAGTGATCCACCACTTACAGTGGTGTGTGTCTTCTAACCTCTCCCAGTCACAGTTGAGGTGGGTAGAGGAGTGGGTCTAATCCTTCAGGTGACAGAAAGACAAAAAATTGGTTGGGTTTTCACCAAACCCCCCAACAAACAAAGTGGGGGCAGAAAAATGTTCCAAACAATCAAGGAAATACTGGGCAAGAGCAAGCCATCTAAACTTGACCCAGTTACATGGACAGCTGGGGCCAAAGGGTACTACAATGTGAGTGCTCACACTCAAGCGCTTCTCCTTTCTTCCACTTCTTCCCAATGTAGTGCTTACTTTTCTTTCAGTCTCTGAATATCCCTCCCTTTCCCTTTTCTCTAGGTATACCACCCCCAATCCACCTTTGACAACAAAAGGACCTCTCTGCATCCATTACCTAATTGCAAATGAGAAAAGGCAGACATTAAAAAAAAAAAAAACTTTAGAATGTTTAGGGGAAATTAACATTTCTGACAGACTTTCCAGTTATTTCAGTTTAAGGATTGTCATTGATTTTTTTAAAACTCTTCTTTCTTTCTTTCTTCCTTTCTCTTTCTCTTTCTTTCTCTCTCTTTCTTTCTTTTTTTCTCTCTCCCTCCCCCTTCTCTCTCTCCCTCCCACTTCTCTCTTCTCTCTCTCCCACTTCTCTCTTCTCTCTCTCTTTTCTTTTCTTTTCCTTTTTACCTCCTCCTTTCCGACCCTGCCCTGCCCTCTGAGCTGTTTATCAAAAGCCTTCCACAGATTTCTATTCCGCCTTAGCCTTGCAGCCGATAGGCAAACACGGATTCCATAACCTTACAGGGAAAATGCATTTGCAAGCAATTAAAAAGGCTTGCGAACGTATTAGTAGAAAATTAAATGGGAGACCTCTATTGTCTGAAGTCTTCTCTTTGATGACAGTGAAACTTAGGGCTAGGGTCCTCATTTGAGTGGGCAGACTCCCAGCCCTTCA